CCTGGCTGGGGTCACGGTGCCCAGTCTAAATGCCTTCTCTAGTGCCCTTGCTGATGAGCTGGTGGTCCCTTCCAGATGTCCAACATCACGGTCACGTACAGAGACGGTCGGGTAGCGCAGCTGGAGCAGGTCTACATTCGCGGCAGCAAGATCCGCTTCCTGATCCTGCCAGACATGCTGAAGAACGCGCCCATGCTGAAGAGCATGAAGAACAAGAACCAGGGCTCCGGGGCCGGCCGAGGGAAAGCTGCCATCCTCAAGGCCCAGGGTAGGTGGCATGCTCCATGCCTGCGCCTTCCCCCAGACGGGGCAGCAGCTCCATGCCTGCCCCTTCTTCCTGGGTTCTGCAGGGCAAAGGAGCCGCCTTCTTCCAACCCCAGGGGCTCCTGACTGAAACCGCACGCCTCTCTTCCTGTGGCACCCCCTCCCCACCTACAGACCTATGCTACTCTCTTCCAGGGCAGGGCACTGAGGGCATAGGGGTGTGTGTAGGGGCAGGCCTGAGACCTGATCAGAGGTGGGGGCGGGTGGGGTGGGAGGGTAGCCCGCTGCTGTCAGGTCCACTGCAGAGCATGAGCACGGGCCCTGCCACCCATGCCTGAGACCTGCTGGCTTTGGGGTCCTGTTCAGAGAGCAGTGGGAGCCACCTCTGGCCGCGCCCCGCCCCCCCAGTGCTGGACTGCTTTCTCCTGTGCTGGTAATGGTTCTTCTGTGTGTGTGTGGGGGTGCCTCTGCCCCTCCCAAGGGGTTCAACGCCCTTCTTCTGGGTCTGCCCTGTTGATGGGATGTAGGAGCAAGTGCAGCCGTTAGAAGCTGTCTTCGTGTTGCAAAGAGATGGCCATGCCGGGAGAACCAGTAATGCCTCCCTGAAGATCCAGCTAGAGACTGCTAGGGGAGGCAGGGCATGCGTGTGGAGAAGGCTCCCTGGGCGGGCCTACAGCTGTGCCTCCTCCCAGCACGCTGTCCCTGTTGTCACACCGCAGAAGGAACCTCGCCTGTGAGGCTAGGTCGCCCAGCCCCTTGTCCCTCAGCCAACCTGTGGTTGGTCCTGCAGTGACTGCGCGCTCTCCCCCACGGCTGCAGGCTCTGTCAGAAGAGGCCAGTGGTTTTGTGTGTGCTTTGCTGCTCCTGGGCAGATTCTCATACCTAGCAGAAAAGCTCTGAGAGGGGGCAGTAAGCAAGCCCCTGTCCGGGACCGAGCAGAGAGCGGCAGTTAGCCCTGGGTGCTGCCCTCTAGAAAGCCTTGCGGCCATCCTCAGCCCTTCCCCCTCGTCTCAGAGAGTACTGCCCCCCTGGGGAAAGGGCTGGCGCTGTCTCCAGCACACTCTGGCCACCCTGACACGTGTCTTCTCTCCTACAGTGGCGGCAAGAGGACGGGGCCGTGGAATGGGCCGTGGAAACATCTTCCAGAAGCGGAGATAACTGGATCTGTTGGACAGAACTTTGTTGGTGTGTGTTCTGCTAGATGTGCTGGTTGGTGGGGAGGGAGGGAGGGCTGCTTGTGTGTGAGTCCAAGGTTTGATCTGGCTGTCTCCCTAATCAGATTTGGAGAAACGTTAAACTCAATAAATCATCTTTTTGTCGTTTGTTTTTTGAGGAAACAAAGGCCTCTGTTCACTTTGGACCCCTGGTGGCACCGTGATTTCTCAGCTGCGAACCAAAAGAAGAGCAAAGCCCCCCACTGCTCGGGGGGTTGGGGGGGGGGCTGCTTCCACAGAGTCGGCAGTGAGCAGCTCTGCTGTGGGAGGGAGAGTCTCCGTGGGTCCCCATCAGTTTGGGTAGTTCTGTTCCGTCCTGTAGCACCGCTGTGGGTTGAGATCAACTCGGCGTTGATGTTGGTCACTTATTTGAGGGTGGTCTTACAGGGCGACGGTGCTGTCCCCTGGAGAGGCTGCAGGCTGGGGCTCAGCTTGGCCTCAGTGGGTTCCTTTAGAGTCTGGTGGCATGCGTGCTTTGGCAGCAGGCTGTATTCCAACACCCAGGGCGATGTCCTGGGAGAGCGCCAGGCGCTCTTGTGGGAGGTGTGTCAGCTACTGTTCCAGGTCAGTTGCTGCTTCTGCCCCAAGGCGGGGAAGGACAGGCTGTTCACCTCAGAAACTCCTACAGCACACATGCTGCTGGCAGCCCGTTGTCTGTAGACACGGCATTGGTGTGGCGCTTTGATCAGTGAAGACGTGTCTTGACCTTAGTTCTGACCACAGCCCAGGGGGTCTGGACCCCTGATCAGGTCCAGTGCTTCTATCTAACAGGCCTGCACAGCTTGGGGCTGCTGCGTGGGCCAGAGAAACCAAGCGAACCAGGAAGCCGGAGGCGCTTCCAAGCACCGAGTAAGGAAAGTGGTGTAACACTTGCAGGAAATAGCTGAGGTTTTGATAATCCAGGAGACACCCAAGATTGTAAACATGAAGACTCCCCAGTCTCTAAAGGTAGGCATTTCTCCAGAAATGAGCTGTCTTCGTCAGGTGTTAGAGTGGTTTCTGACCCATAGCGACAAACCCTACCTTCCGTTGTATTGGAGTCTGTGGCTGCAGCCGCTCTGTCGGCCCGTTTCATTGAGGGCCTTCCTCGTTCTTTGCACCTCTATTTCACACAGGCCATGCTTATCTCCGGGGACTGGTCTGGTAACAGGTGACCAGTAACCATGCGCCAAGATGCTCCCTGAGTGGAGAAGGAGGGTAAAAAGGAGCTGACACCACGGGCCCAAGTAGAAAAATTGTTTTGGAAATGTGGATGGCAACATGTGTACAAGTGTGCTTTAATACTACTGAGTGATGGATTGTTACAAGGTTTGTAAGAGCCCCCCAGTAAAATGACTAAATATAAATAAATGGTGGGGTGGGGGGTGAGAAGATGCTCCCTATCATAAAAAAATCTTTAGTTTTGCCTCAGCAACCCAATAGGACAGGTTAGAACTGCCCCCTGAGGATATCCAAGGCTGTAAGTAATGACTAGAATAGACTACGTCATCTTTCTCCCTTAGAGGGACTGGTGGGTGTGAACCACTGACCTTATCGATGGCAACCCAGCACAAAACCTACCATGTCAGCAGAGCGCTTCCTGGTCAGTCTGAACTGAAAGCCAGGTCTCCCCACCATCCAGACAATCCCGACTCAATGACACCCTAGGCAAGCCCAGGGGCAGGTTGCTTGGTGCTGCGCGGTCACACCTATCGGTGTCTGCGCTGTCGAGAACGTAGCACCTTCTGAGCTTGGCTTCCAGCACAATGTCACACGTGTTGTGATCTGTAAGGTTTCCTTTGCCTGCTTTTTGTGCAAAAATAAGCCAGGCCGCCACCTCCCTAGTCTGCCGTAGTCTGGGAAGCCCACCGAAACCTGTCCACTTTGACGGCCCTTCTGGTATCAGAAACACTGATGGCACAACTTCCAGCATCACCACAACACACATGCTGCAGGGTGCAGCACACTGACCCACTGAAAACGAGCCCAAAGTCACTGCTGTTGTGACCCTGAGTGGCCCTGTGGAACGGGGTAGGGCTGCCTTAGGAGTAGACGGTCTCTCGCCCATGGAACAGCTGGTGCTTCCGAACTGCTCACCCTACAGTGAGGAGCCCGGCTCGGGACCACTGTGCTGCAGGGCGGCCTCCAGGATGCCTCCACTAAAAACACACAAAGCCAAGGATTGGCCGAACGTGGCGACACCTGGAGCTCTTCCAGCTCTGAAATCACCGCCCAAAGTAACGCGGCCTTTTCTCCAGTAGGCACATATACAAGGATCGTAGGACCCACAGTTCCCTTGCCAGGAACGTACCCAAAGGCTCCAAGGACTCCCACAGGGATGTGGACACCTGTGTTGACTGCAACTCTGTTTACTGAAGGTGGAAATGGCCCAGGTGTGGGTCAACAGGAATGACGGACCAGCTGCTATTTCCAAACAATGGACTAGTAGTCGAGAACGGGAATTCTGATGTGTGCTAGGCTGTGGAAGAAGGGCTGGGGGGAGGGGCACTGTCCCATGATCCCCTTTGTGTGGATGCCAAGACCAGGCATGTGCACCAGGACCAGAGTTGGTGAGTGGTCGCTGGTTGGTGTTTGGGGGTCTTTTTTTAATAAAAGGTCATTCAGAGGTTCCCTGTGAGCAGCCCCTGCATCCACGTCCCCAGCTGACCCACACTGGGTGTCAGAGAGGGGAGCTGCTGGTGGCAGTGGGGCCAAGACAAGCTTGTTAGGAAGCCACTACCTGAGGTCAAGTTAACTGAAGGGACTCTTCCCTTTTAATGTCTTTCGGCCCTTTATCAGAAAGCAGTTATCTGGGGGTTCTCTGAAGCCCCTGAAAGCTCCCCTAAGCCTCCCAGTGAGCGTCCTGAAGCCCCCTCTCCGTACAGTAGACTGCCTCGTGGGGTGCCACTTTCTCAGCCGCAGTCAGAACCACCAGCGTTGGCCCGAGCCGCTCCTCTGACAGGCCCAGCCGACTGGCATTGAAAAGAAACAAAAACTGGTTCTTTAATTAATAACTTTTTCTTTTCCTGTTAGAATCTTTAATTAAATGAAAACTGGGCTTTGTCCCCGGCTGTGTGGGAGGGGTACGAATGGTTCATGTGCCGGGCTGCTGACCAAAAGGTTGGAGGGCCAAGACCAAAGGCCAAGGCCACCCGGCTCTGAAGGAAGGAAGGCTCGGTGACAGACTGCCCCTGGACGCAGCCCTTGACCAACACCTCTGACACAGGTGGGGGCACTGGGGCTCCAGATGGACTGCTGACCATGGTGGACCGGGTGGGGGGAGGTAGTAGTGGTCAGGGGAGGGTAGAGTGGGAGAGGTGGAGATGGTGGTGGTGCAGGAAGTGGTGATGGAGGGGGAGGGGTAGAGGAGGTGGAGGCAGTGGCTGTGGGTGATGGTAAGGAGGTACAGGTAGTGGAAGAGGGTGTGGTGGCCGGGGAGGAGGTGGTGGAGAAGGAGGTGGTAGTAGTGGTGGAGGTGGAGAAAAAGGAGGTGATGGTGATAGAGGTGGAGGGGTGGCAGTGACGTGCTGGTGATAGAAGTGGTGGTAGAGGTGGAGGCACCGGACCTCCCCTCTTACCAACTTGATTTAGTGGAGGTCACCACTTAATCCAAGCTTCAGTGAACCAACTAAATAAGCTCTTAGATCTCTTCCTAACTTCTTGAGCTGTTAGCTAACATTTCACATTTACCCTCGTCAAACATGGTCAGGGGAGCCAGCGCTAACAAATCATCACAGGCCCGGCAGTCACAGCTGTACAGCAATAACATGTAAAGATTACAGTAAAGTCATAGAGAATAAGAGAGATAGAAGAGAGGGTGAAATAAAGGAGTCAGACACATTTCCTGGTAGCAGGCTCACCTCAGCCCCTCTTGGTGGTCCATGTGAGGATGTGGACGGTGGGAATTGCAGGAACGAGAACGATTTCTTACGAGCCAAGGCTTCTATATCTTGGGAGTGTGCAAACCCCCTAAAGGTCAAGACATACATCACAGAAGGGATTGTACTATAGGTAATACAGTAATGGGAGGGGGGTGATCTAGGGGTGTACACACTATAGGAAGAGGAGGGATTAAGGGTATGCATGTGACAAGATGGGCGGATCCTAGATTCATGATGGTGGCCTGACCTTGATGGCCCTTGAGCTGGAGTCTGGATTTAGTCTAAGCTTTCAGGGGAAGCAGTCCACTGTCCCTAACTGCAGGGAGTGAGCCCCACCTAAGGTGGGATAAACAGTAGTGTCTGATTGCTCTGGACGGCTGAATGCCTACAGGGAGAATATCTCTAAGCATCTGACATCCCACCTTGTGCTGGCAAACAGCCTCTAATGTTTGGCTTATCTTTGGGTAAGACAAAGCTGGGAGAAACAAAACACCAACTCTGATGATTTTGTGCTTGAATGAGGTACTTCTGGCAGTGGAGATGTTGAAGTCTGAGGCGAGAGGAATGCTGGCTGTGAGGGTTAAGGCGATGTGCTACCTTGGCCCGGCCGCCATTCTCAGTAGTTGGACAGATATGTAAGGGTGAAATCTGGCAGTTAGGCAAAGACATGTATTTTCCATTTGGGGGATCTGATGTGGTCTTCGATTTTGGCATAATCCTGATTTTGCCAGGATGGCCTTTTGAGCTGATTAACCGTGTTGGTAAATGGGAAGTCGGCGTAGTGGTTTTCCTAGTGAGAATGGCTGAGCAGACGGAGGTCCTCCCTGAACAGCAGAGAAGGTCAGTCTCTGCACGTGACCAGGGCCATGTGTGAGGGGTGGCCCCTGGACCTCGGTCACCTCGCAGACCCCACACCCCATCCTGCACAATGCCAGGCCCACTCAACTCCCAATCTCCAAGCAGTGCTTGGCATCTGTAGCCACAGCCACGCGGGGGTACACGTGGTCAGGATGCTGGGGGGACGAGGGCAGACAGAGGCAAAGGACCACGATGAGGGCCACCAGGGCGATGGCCACCAGGCCCAGCGCTGTGTACTGCTTCTTCATGGCTCTGGGCGCGGGAGGTTGGAGACGCGGAACAGAGAGAGAATTTAGCCAGGAATGTGGAATTGAGAAAGGTTTTATTGAGGCAGGGAAAGAACGCCTGGGAGGGAAGGGAGAGCAGAGAAGGACGGGGACATCTTGAGCCCCGGGCGGTTCCGAG